ATGGATAAGAACAATTATCATATTACTGCACCACATTTTTGTCCATTAAAAATATTAAACTCAACTCGCGTGGACCCGTGCAAAGCAAGTTCATTCTCTCTACGCCCATTTACACTCCATTTCCATCTGCGGGATGGAACAACTTCCCTATTGCAAGTCTCAATCTGATTGCTCTTATATTGATAGCAAAATATGATCTTCGAATTTCAATATTATTTCACCGGAATCCATGTCTAGCTCACACATTCAATCAACATAACTTTTTTCATTGCAGAAAATAACATAAAATACAGCATCATTCTCATGAATGGATATAAGAAACAGAACTCCCCAGGCTATAAAACTCAGTTGGCAGATTAACAAATAAATGGCTTGCAGAGGAAAACAGTGGCATGATTTCAAGATTCTGAAATGTTACTATATGCTACATCACAGTAATAAATATCGCAACCACAAGATTAAAGTACTGACGGTATTGTTCCCATAAAATGGGTTGTCAAAGCTTTTCACCCTCTCACCCTCCCCACCTAATCATGATGAGATCACTTCCAGGATGTTTCACACTACACATACATTTGAAATTACATGTATACACATCTATTTCGAACTAGTATATTTGGTAACAGCCTTGGTCCCCTCAGATACAGCGTGCTTCGCCAGTTCACCAGGTAAAATGAGTCGAACAGCAGTTTGAATTTCACGTGACGAAATCGTAGAACGCTTATTATATTGAGCTAAACGACTTGCTTCAGCTGCGATACGCTCAAAAACATCGTTCACAAACGAATTCATGATCGACATTGCCTTCGAAGAAATGCCTGTAAAAAGAAACTCAGTGGAAAACACAGAACAAAGTACATTCAAAGTCTATTTTTGTCCCATACCCTGTTATAGAGGCTCGAAATCATCCTCCCTCCCCTCTCCCTTTTCGTTCCTCTTCATGTTTTATAAATCACCTCTCCACATAAACTGAAATCATACCTGTATCGGGATGAACCTGCTTCAAGACACGATAGATGTATGCGGAGTACGATTCTTTACGTCGAGATTTTCGCTTCTTATCACTGCCACGAACTTTTTGTGACTTTGCAGCTTTCTTTGCTCCCTTAGCAGATGGCTTTGGCGGCATTTTGTTGACAAATCTCTACTGCGCAACCTACGAGAACTGAAATGGAAGATGTTTTAGACGGACAAAAAAATAAACGAATTGCTCCTACCTAACGTGAGCAAACTTCTCTTCGTTCGTTCAGAACATGCGGGACGGAAACTCATCAACAAGACATACAATGCGTACCTAGCCCAATGCAAATCTGTGATTTTACTTGAAAGACATTTCACTATACACTACCCTTTGCCTGTATGCAGAACAAACGTCAAAACACAACATGCCTGTACTCTTCAACCTAATCGACCCAACAACCTCTTTTAACATCCACAATAATCATAACCCTGCGACATACCGTGCCATCCCAACCTCCTCAACATCTACAATAACCACAACCTCGCGGCACCCTATCACCGTTACGACTCTTATAACATCTACAACAACCGGAACCCGCGGTACCGTATCACCGTCACAACTCTTATAACATCTACAGTAACCACAGTCTGCAGTACCGTACCACCGTCACAACTCTTACATCTACAATAACCACAACCTGCTGTACCGTACCACCGTCACAACTCTTATAACGTCTACAACCACAACCCGCGGTACCGTATCAACACAACCTTTCCTAACACCCACAATAACAACCCACAAACCCATGGTATCGTATACCACCACCACTCTTGCGAAACCTACAATAACCAAATCCTGCGGTACCGTGTCACCATCACAACCTCTTCCAACACCTACAACATCCACGACCCCAGGCTACTAACACTGTAACAGCCGCAACCTCCATCCCAGGTACCGTACCACCCCACAAGCAACACCTACGATACCCAAAACCTTCCAGCACCGTACCACCCGCATCCCCCACCCCGTCCACACCCCAGCCATCATCGCCAACGATCATTTGGACAATGTGGTAACCCATCGCACTCCCTTTTATATAAACCATCGAGCGTTGCATATCACCAGACCACGCCCACTTTATTAAGAAAGTAGGCGTGGCTAACAAGTTCAGTCCGCTCGTTTACAGCTATAAATAGCGAACGCATCGCTAACAATTCGTCAAACGTGCGCGTACTTTCGTTGAGCAGATGAGGCGAAGGTTGTTTGGTTACTGGTTTATCAGGCCTTTCCCTAAATTCGTGTGTTATTTGTCCAGTGAAGGTAAGAAGTAGTGATGGAGGGATATACATTTGTGGATGGGAAGTTTTGATTAACTGTTGAGGAACTTTTAAGATGTCTACTAGTTGTCTGTAGAGAGATATAGACTTTATGATTTTTTCAGACTGAATTATGTCAGGACGCGGAAAAGGTGGTAAAGCGAAATCGTCTGGAAAATCGAAAAGTCGCTCATCGCGTGCTGGTTTGCAATTCCCTGTAGGACGCATTCATCGTTTGCTGCGTAAAGGAAATTACGCGGAACGTGTTGGTGCTGGTGCACCAGTATATTTAGCTGCGGTATTGGAATATTTAGCGGCGGAAGTGTTGGAATTAGCAGGAAATGCAGCGCGTGACAATAAGAAGACGAGAATCAATCCGAGACATTTGCAGTTAGCTGTACGCAATGATGAAGAATTGAACAAACTGCTCACTGGTGTGACAATTGCGCAGGGTGGTGTATTGCCGAACATCCAAGCGGTGCTACTGCCGAAGAAGACCGTTGAAAAAGTTTAAAAAGTGCAAAAGAAAATGCAGTTCTCCCGTAGTAATTGACTATTATTAAATTTGGGTTGTCCTTTTTCCTGGTGGCGCAAAGGGCAATTAGAACTTGCCCTCAGATGGATTGCACTGTTACTTGAGAGGTTGGGGAAGTTGTGGTGACAACTGAACTAAATTTTCTGCACTTCTCCTTTATACCTTTGTTATCTACCTCTTATCAAACCCTCTGATTATATCCACTTTATCACTCACTGTCACAATCATTGTCTGTATATAGTTGTTTCATTTAATTATAATATACGATGGGAATCTGCCGCAGAGATTTGATCTCGTGTGTCATTGCATAGTTCAATGTTTACACTAATAAATATTTTTAGTATTTTTTGTTACTGTTAACATCAAAAAAACTGTTACATGCATAAATATTGATTGAAGTGTGATAAAGTTGAGTTCCATAAAGGATTAGTGTAAAGACGAAGAGATGATAGTAGTAGGAGGTATTTCATCGGAAGTGTCAATCTCGGGACGTGTCACCTTACGTTGGGCAAATTTTAAAATCCACGTTGGTTGGTGATTGCCTGATAAAATTGCCCAGGAGGAAGGGTGTGAGTACGTATGTGTAGTATTGAATGAATCCCGGTGAGGTCGTGCCAAGTGTTGCTATATAAGCTCGTCGCAGTAATGGCCGTGACATTGTTATTGTTGATTAGTGGTGGACGCTGACGGGTGATCGCGCTGCAACGGTATAACTGCAATGTCTGGACGTGGTAAAGGCGGTAAAGGATTGGGAAAAGGTGGAGCTAAACGTCATCGAAAAGTGTTACGTGATAATATCCAAGGAATTACAAAACCAGCAATTCGACGTTTGGCACGTCGTGGTGGAGTGAAACGTATCTCAGGGCTGATTTATGAGGAAACACGTGGCGTCTTGAAGGTATTCCTGGAAAATGTGATACGTGATGCGGTAACATATTGCGAACATGCAAAACGTAAAACAGTAACGGCAATGGATGTAGTTTATGCGTTGAAACGACAAGGTCGAACACTTTATGGATTTGGTGGATAAAATATGTGAACGACGAAAGAAAAATGGGTGATATGTGATGGATAAAATAGGAAGATAAGTGATGGACAACAACAACAACAACAACAACGTGATGGTCATTTTATTTTTGTGTATGTTTACTTTTTCTTCATATTAAATAAGTTATGTTCACATAATTGTCGTCATTTGATTTTTTAATTCTAACTCTAAATGAATTGGAAACGTTGAAAGTTCTACTTATATAACAATGATAAGACCTTTTCAATGGATTTTTAGAATTAATTTTCAATTCCCATAAAAATATATATTAATCGATTAATCATTGTTATTTTAGTAATCGACTAATTGTTATTTTAGTATTATTAACTGTCGGTTTGTTAAGATAAATTGGAGTAGATTAGATTAAACCTCATTTTATATCTGTAAAATCAAACAGAACGAAGGATAAGAGCTAAAAAAAATTGTTTGCAATTATTTTAAAATGTTTATTGTATTATGACAGATTTGATTATTTTATGCAAACATAGAATTCAAATGAAGTAATTAATTGCATTGGTTTTTTATGTTTCTGGTGTTTCTGGCAATGTTAATGTAATTTTTTGTAAATTGAATAAAATTTCATGAATTGAATACAATACCAACAAAAAGATTTACTTTGTTTTTGCGTAAAATAGATCATTCTGTTAATAAACAGATGATCGTAATGAATATAACAATGCCCATGATAACAAATGGTAAGCAAACTCGAAAAGTTCATGGTATTTCCATGTTGCAATCTTTTATCAGCCTAGCTATCTGCGCTATCAGCAATTGCAGTGCAATTTCGTACTAGCAAATTTGATTCTGAAAGAAGATTGGTCAAAGAAAGTATAAGCTCAATTCTTGGCTTTGGGCTTTTATTTCAGCATAACTGTCTCTATTGTCAAATGGTCGAGACACGCTCTTGATTAGCAGATTTAAAAGAAAATTAAGAGAAGAAATTATCTGAGGTAAGATTATAAAAGTGCTGTAACAGTGAATCAGTTCGTGGACTGAAATTTAACTCTCGACAACTATCGATGTTATCAGTTCCTGAAGTTCCTAAAACATAATCGATTGCAACAAGTTATTTGTGAAGAAAGAAAAAAAGATTGACAAAAGAAAGTATGTGAAGGAAGAGAATTCGTGGTTATAAATCATTTTCATACTGATAATAATTGGAATAAAAATAAGTTTACAAATAAATGTTCATTGCTCAATAGATTTCTATGGCCATTATATTTCATTATATGATATTCGTTATCATATATCAGGCAAATAGATGACATGCGTCATTGCTTTTGAGTAAAGATATCAAATGCAACATATAGTAAAATTTTCGTTTATTACACTCTAATCCTTACAAAATATTGAAATG